AGACGTAGCTAAGGACAGGGAAGATGCAGAAATTATAGAGCCTGCAGCTGGCTTCCGCTGGAGATCGGGAGAGAGCTGTCTCGATCGTGCGGGCGCGCCATTTTTGAAAGGGGGCGGCCCATTGCTGTTCTAAGGACGCTCCAGGGCCAAACTCGATGCCGAGGAAGGTTGCGTGTCCACGCGCGTGACATTCTGACCATTGAGGGGCGAGATCGGCCATCATGCTCTGGAATTTCGTCTCCACGGCTGGCGTGCAAGATTCCGCCAGGGGGACGACGCGACACTTTTCGGGCTGGAGGGGCAGGTTCGCAAGAGCGCGGGCGGCGTCGAAGGGGGGGGGGCGAGAGCGGGGGGGGCGAAATCGAGGGAAGGGCGAGTCCCACATCGTCCGCCGTCGCCCCACGTTCAGGAAAGAGCCCTGGGCACCAGCTGAAAGGGCGAGGGCGCATATCGCGGGCTGTCGGGCAGGTTATCTGGGCCTCTAAGTGGCGTAAGAAGGGGTCCATGCACAGAGCCCGGATGGTGCCTGAGAGGGGGCATCCTTGGGCGACCCCTGAGGAGACCATGAAAAGCGGGAGCCTGGCGGGGCCGCATCGGGCCTGGGCGAGAGACCCAGCGTAAAGAGCAGAAATCACATTCAGAAAACCCGTCGGGATGCGATGTCGCTCGAGCACTCGGTGGAGAAACGCCTGGGGGAGGGAGGGGAAAGCGGCTCGGAGGTCAAAGGAGACGAAGGCAGGAGAGAGGTCAGGGCGGCGCCTCGCGGCTCGAGCGATCGCATCCTGGCGGACAATGTGGCCAAGGAAGTTGCGGCCACGAATGAAGCCCTGCTGCGCAGGGTGCCCGCGGAGGGCAGTCAGGTGACCAAGCTGGATGTTCGTCGCCGACGCCACTGCCTTCGCGTCAGCGTTCTTCAGGCTCAGCGGGCGGAGGCGACCAGGCGCCCTGACCACGTCAAAGGAGTCGGACGCCTCCGAGCCCTCGGGAATGAAGGCCACGTCCGCGTAGTTGGAGCCCAGGGGAGCGCCTCCACCCGCGAAGAGGCGCAGCATCAGGGAGTGGAGGACGTCAGATAGCCGCTCGTCCGCCATCCAGGCTTTGGCCATCAGGCGGTCAGGGCCCGGCGCAGACGGCCTCGCACGCCGAAGGGCAGCACGGAGAGCATCGACAGAGGGCACGTGCAGCGAGGGCGCCTCGAAGGAGGGGAGGTGCATGTCGAGGTAGCGGGCGATCGCGTCCATGTCCACGGGCTGGTCCGTGAAGTGGGCCTCCCAGTATGAACGCAGGGCGTCGAACGCGCAGACGGGGCCACGCTCGATGGACGCACTATGGCCGGTGCTCTCCAAGCGGACTCCAGCGAGGACCAGGCGTCGACGAAAGGGCACCCAGAGCATGGCCCTACGCTGCGCTGCCCGCTGGAGCTTCAGCAGCTGCCACTTGTCGGGCCCCTCGGCGCCAGGCCCGAGGCGCGCCTCCTCGCGGAGCCGCGCAGCGGCCGCGGCGCGCCGGCGCTCATGCCAGGCCGCGTGCAGCAGGCGACAGTCCCTCTCGAAGTCCTCAGCAGCAATGAGGGAGACCACTTCAGCAGGGTTGACGGACAAGTGCTTCTCGCCTAGCGCCGTCGATCGATCAGGCGACGCGCGAGGTGCGCATCTTGACGCCAGACGGCTCGTGCAATGGCACGCATGGAGAGCCGTCTGCCATCCTCAGCATCCTCGCTGCAGTCGCCGATCGGGAGGGCCTGGATTTCGTTCCCGGTCAGGCGCGCCGCCTCGGTCATGATCTCCTTGACAAGGGCCCAGCGGGAGGCCACCTCCAGGGAGTCCAAGTCGGCGACGTCCAGCAGGGACTTCGCGTGCTTCACGCATCGGGGGGAGCTGAAGATGTTTGGCGGGATGGACTGCTCGGCGGGCTCGGATGGCGATCGAGCCCAAACCTTCAGCTGGGTGATGGCGTGGTCACTGAGGCCCCAGTCCGCCAGCGTCGCGGCCTCCTGCCAGATCTCGAACCGGATCGCCGCGTTCAGAATGGAGTGCGACTTCAAGGAGACGAAGGCGCGATCAATGAAAGAGCAGGTCTGGTACTGCTTGGAGAAGTGCGTGGGCAGCTCGCATGTGACTTCAGCAAGCGCTTACTGAAAGAGCGCTCTCCAGAAGCCTTGGCCCTGGTTGCCACGATGCCAGACGGAGCGGCTGTTACCCGCCCGTCGGGCACGACTCAGCCCAGAGTCCGATGAGGATGAGGAAGAGGAGCTGTCGCTGCCACCGTGCCGCGTAGCGGCGCTTGGAGTCGGGGTAGCGGCCTCGCGATTGGTAGTCCTGCAGTAGGCGACGGAGGGCCTCTCCAGGGACAGCGGCTCCAGGTCAGCGATGTTGAAGTCGCCGGTGGCTATGAAGATACGGTGGCGTTCGTCATCTTGCGCCCATCGGGCCCCGTCCATCCAGCTGCGCTTGATGGAGGCAAAGGAGGCCTGCGGGACGTCATGGTTGTGGATATTGAGGATGCGGATGTGCTCGTTGGTGTGCGCATTGGAGAGGGTGAGCTCAGCAACCCGCCCAGGCACCAGCGTCTTCATCGTGGCCGAGGGTGGCAGGCACTGGTCCAGGGGGCGCAGCTCAGCCTCGGAGAACCACGGAACCAGGAAGGCCAGGCCGCCCGTGCCAGGGTTCGCGCCCGCAGAGAAGAAGGTGCGGTAGCGGTGCGGCAGCTGGTCGATCAAGGTCCTGAGCTTGATCTCCGAGCCGCGAGCTTCCTGGACGACGATGAGGTTGCGGAGCTTCATCAGCTGGGCAAGGCGCGCCAGCTTGGCCTTGCGCTTGTGTGCGCGGTGGCACAGGAGGCCGCTGGCGTTCCAGGAAGCAACGCAGGGCCCCCTGCTGGCGAGCGAGTCAGAGCCTCGGGCGGGGGCGGGCGCCCAAGGCAGCCAGCGAGGGCTAGGAGCACGACCAGCTGGACGTGTCCACCTCGGCGGCAGCAGCTGTGGCCTGGTTGAAGTGCTCGACAATGGTGCGGCGGTCGTGGTCGCTGATGAATTGTTGTGTAGAGCCAGGATGCCAATAGATATTGGAAGACTCGTGGAAACCCTGAGGGACGACCTCAATGATCGGCACGGCGTTGGCACTGATGATGCCCTTGGGTCGAATGGCGGTCCAGTCCACCGGCTTGTCAGCAGGGTGGCTCCAGTCCTGGGCGAGGATGTTGAGGAGGCGCTGAGTGTGCATCTCGCGGCGGATCTGACGCGGGGCTTTGTCAGCGCCCGCATGGAGGGTGGCGCGCCGACCATCTGGGGTCTCCACTGTGAAGGAACGCCATCCACCACCAGGAAGCCGCAAGGCACGGGCCAGAGCCATGGCGCGAGGAGCACCTGCGCCACTGTCGCCCTTGACGTGGACGAAGAAGCGCTTGGCAGGGACAGCGCCACCAACCATTTCGATGAACTCCGAGCGGACCTTCGCGGCGACAATCCAGTCCTCGAGAGCAGCGCGGACAGCGGGGCCCGAGACCATGCTCTAACAGCTGGCAGTGAAGAGGAGCGGGTCTGCCTCTCGGTCGTACTCGGCGAGCTTGGCGAGGTCGGCGGCGCCGAGCTGGCGCTCGGCGAGGGCGAGGCTCGAGCGGATCTCGTTGACCTGCTCCCGCAGCCTGGCACTGTCGCGCTCCATCTCCTGCTGCCGACACTTGATCTGGTGGACGTCGTTAGTCTGCGCAGCCAGGCTCTTAGTAATCGGGTCGATGAAGTGGGCCATCTCCTGCACGAGGGCCGTCTGGGTGGCAGCCATCGAGGACTTGCAGAGCTTGTCCATGTCGGAGACAGTGGAGTCCATGCGTTGCTGAACGAGGCGAAGAAGGTGTTGCTGGAAGTCGCTCCCCGCGGACTCAACGCCCAGGCCGTTGGCGGGCAGGGCCTGGCCGTCGCTCGCGGCGGAGGGGGCAGCAGCAGGCCGGCCAGGGGTGGCGGCACCACCGACGGGGGTGCCCGCGGCGCCTGCAGCGCTGGCCTGGCTGGCGAAGGTGGGCATGGCTTCCACGGCGGCGATGTCCTGGCTGGTGAGGAAGGGCTGACCCGAAGCAGCCCAGGGGTCGCGAACTTGAAGGGCATCAGGCTGGGCACCAGAGTCCAGCTGGGCGGCCCACTGCGGGGGCGCCGCCAGGGTTCAGGGGTCGAGCCTGGGGCGTTCACGGCGATGCTCTCGAGGGGGCTCTTCGCGTGGAGGTCGACGACGAGCACTGCGGTCCTCAGGGGCAATGTCCGCGCCTCCGCTGGTGCCAGCCCGACGCGCACGGCGGCGGGATGTTCGCTCTCCTCCACTGCGGCTGTTCGATTCACATCTGCCAGGGCCGCAATCGCTAGAGCCAGAATCGTCAGAGTTCATGCACAAGAAGAAAACAGTCGTGGTGGAGCGCGGGAGGGAATGCTGATATGGAAGCGGAGCGGCGCTCCAAAATCTGATGAATACGGATGCTCCATACAGGAGCTCACGGTGTGGGGGCCTGTCCAGCACTTGTGTCGCGGGCCGCACTGACAGAACCCCCGAGAGGCTGACCTGTCCAGCTGACTTGACATATGGATTACTTGAGCCAAAATGGCTTGAGCCAAAATGGCTACGGAGAAGGAGGAGGATGAGGAGGAGGAGGAGCGAAGGTCACCTTGGGGGCAACGTCAGTTGCCACATTTACGCACCGCGCGGCCCAGCGCCGCTCACGAGACAGCGAGGCAGCCTCAGGGAACGGCGGGCGGCGGCGACAGCAGCGGCATTATTGCTGCAGCTATGGAGGGGAAGGAGAAAGAGGAGGAGGAGGAGGAGGAGGAGGAGGAGGAGGAGGAGGAGGAGGAGGAGGAGGAGGAGGAGGGAGGGGGAGGAGGAGGAGGAGGAGGAGGAGGAGGAGGAGGAGGAGGAGAGAGAGGAGGAGGAGGAGGAGGAGGAGGCGGAAGAGGAGGAGGCGGAGGACGACGACGGCCAACGCTTGCACAACGTAAAAAGGAGGAGATGGGAGCGGACCTGTCTCCGGGCAACCCCGAGCGGCGCCTCTCCGGGGCGCCCGCGCGGGGGGCCTGCCAGCCGCCCCAGGCGTCCGCGCCGCCAGAGCTGTCCTTCAGCCAAGTCTCCAGCCACCTGCCGCTGGAGGGAGGGATCGAGGATCGAGTACCGAAAAGGGATCGAGGATCGAGGAGGGATCGAGGAGGAGGAGGAGGAGGAGGAGGACAAGCTAGGTGCGCTCGCGTCATATCTGACGTCCTACCCCTCCCTCCCATCCCTTACCATGGCGCTGATTTTCTCTATCCGCGGACGCGTGTCGTAGCGGACCTGTGGCTCCGCGCGCGCGTGCGTAGTGGGTGGTGGTGCGCGTGCGTGCGTGCGTGCGTGTGTGCGTGGTTGTGGTTGTGGTTGTGGTTGTGGGTGGGTGGTGTGGTGGTGGTGGTGGGTGGTGGTGGTGGTGGTGGTGGTGGTGGTGGTGGTGTGGTGGTGCTGGTGTGGTGTGGTGGTGGTGGTGGTGTGGTGGTGTGGTGGTGGTGGTGGTGGTGGTGGTGGTGGTGGTGGTGGTGGTGGTGGTGGTGGTGGTGGTGGTGCGGCGCAGTGGTGGCGGGCGGATGGGCGCGCGAGAAAGAGGCCCGCGCTGGGGCGAGAACGCCATCCTGAACGACGGAGGCCAAACACCGATCCGAAAATGAGGCCCACGCTGCAGCGGGAGCGCGATTCGGAACGATTCGGGAGCAGAGATGAGGTCGACGCCTCAGCGAGAGCAGCATTTTGGAAAAAAGCCCCGGCGAAAACCCGTTTCCCGGGAATCCTGTGTGTAAAAAAACAGTACGCGGGGGGGGGGTCGGCGATCACCCAACCGCCATCAGGGGAAGAGGGAAAGTATTTTCATATTGAGTAATTGTGGAGGAGGAGGAGAAGGACATTGACATTCGCTTCGGGGCTGAACTAAAGCTCAAGCACGTTCCGCGGACAGCAACTGACCCCCAGTCCAAGCCTGGGGCGCTGCCAGTTCCGAGCCGGCGTCAAGAACCTTAACACCAGGAGGAGGAGAGAAGGAGAAGGACATGCATGAAACACAACTCGCCCGGGTTAAACGCTGCCCACCTTCTAATGGGCCGTTCCCAAGCCAGAACGGCAACAATGCAGAACTTCCCCAGAGCGGGGCGGAGAATCCCATCCCACCCACCAACAACCCCCTCCCCAGAGAAGAGCAATCCCTGAACGCCAACTTGCAGGTTCGGACTTTCGGGCATGGTGAGACCATGGCAAGACCCGCCAGGGAAGGCCACTTGCTTTCGCCTGTGACCTGGCTGCCAATTCCTTGAACTGTCTGGAGGGAGGAAGGAGGGAGGGGGGAAGACAGAAGGACAAGGGAAGGGGAAGGAGATCAAGACTGCAAAGCACTGGGGTAAACTTTCTTCCCCCATACTAATGGGAGTCCCCTAGCAGAGCGAGACCTACCGTTCCCCAAAGAGAAGAGAGACTACTAGGGGATTACTTCGCCAGACTTTCCTGGACCCCTGAAAAGTAAAATGAACTGGGTTGAAATACAGCTGCCCAACTAGCGCATGAAGAAGAAACTGCAGGTAAGCTACCTGCTTCACAGTTCTGCCGATCTGGCCAAGGAAACAAGACGTGAAGGTAAAAGAACGCTGGGTAGCTGACAACTGTCCTACCCAAACGCAAACGACCAACAGAAAAGGATTCTACCAAAACCTGTAGCCGATGCATCCCACCAGCCCTTTCGGGCGTGAGTGGTTTAGCGAGCCCCCTCTGTCCTCAACCCCCCTTCTTCCCCTTCGGGGAGGGGTTTACCCCTCCCCCTACCCCCTCCCCCTGGGCCTGGAGAGGGAGTCCCGCGGGTGGTCAGGGGAGTCTTTTTCGACTCCTGGGAGGGCAAAAAAACGACGGCCCTCACAAGGATTCTGCTCCCGACGGGGGGGCCCTCTTGTAGTACCCCCCTCTTCGTCGACGCCAAAAGCATTGATTTTACTATGGTTTTGGCCCCATGTTGGCCGTCTCAGGGGGTCGCGCTCCTCGTCCTTCATAGCAAAATCATTGATTTTACGAAGGTTTTCTGCTCATTTTGTCCTTCTCAGGGGGGCAGCTCTCACTTGCGCTTCTGAGGAGGTCGCAAGAGGCCCCAAGATGGCCCCAAGAGGCCCCCAGGAGGGAGGCCTCCAAGAGGCCCCTGGCCCCAAGAGGCCTCCCAAGAGGCCTCCCCCCCCCCCCCCCCTCCCCCCCCCCAGAAGCCCCCAAGCGGCCCCAAGAGGCCCCCTAGAGGCCCCCAAGAGGCCCCACGAGGCACCACGAGGCCCCCAAGAAGCCCCCAAGAGGCCCCCAAGAGGCCCCCAAGAAGCCCCACGAGGCTCCAAGAGGCCCCCAAGAGGCCCCCAAGAGGCCCCAAGAGGCCCCAAGAGGTCCCCAAGAGGCCCCCAAGAGGCCCCCAAGAGGCCCCAAGAGGCGCCAAGAGGCCCCCAAGAGGCCCCACGAGGAGCCCCAACGACTCAGACCAGGACGAGGGGCCCGAACGACTCACGCCACGAAGAGCCCGAACGACGCACACCAGGAGGAGGGGCCCGAACGACTCACAGCAGGACGAGGCGCCCGAACAACTCACGCCACGAGGAGCCCGAACGACTCACACCAGGACGAAGAGCCCGAACGACTCACACCACGAAGAGCCCGAACGACTCACACCAGGAAGAAGGGCCCGAACGACTCACACCAGGACGAAAAGCCCGAGCGACTCAAGCCACGAGGAGCGCTTTCTCTCCCTCCTCCTCCGCCTCGCCCCTCTCCCGCCCCCACCGCAAGGAGGGTGTGCAAGGAGGCGGGGGGAAGGAGGAACAGGGGAGATATGCGGGGGCAGGCGGAAACACGCCTGAAAACATGATTCTCGGCATGCTTCGCAAGAGTTGCTGTTGTGAGATGGGCTGGTGGGGATGCGCGAAGCGTAAAGAATTATGTTCACTAAGCCAATACTCAAGTTGCCATTTTGCCAAAGATGCAATACAAATTCTGCCGCTGAAAAAAAGTTGGATACTACCAACCTACTTGCTCCAATTACTTTGAAAAAGTGGAGTCTGAGCTGGATCTGCTCCTCCTAGGAACAGGCGCAATGCCTGAAGCTGCGTTTTGATTCTTAACACGATTGAGCTCCTCCTGGAGTGTCTCCAGCTTCTGCTGGAGGTGCTTGATCTTGATATCCTGGAGACCACACTTTAACTCCAGCAGTCTTGAACTGGACGGGGCAGAACCACTGACAGGGGCGGCATCGCTGTGCCCAACCTTTGCACGCTTACTAGCTTGCTCTGGAGAAGTCGAACGAGGACTGTCGACATGTTTACTGGCAGAAGGTGAGTCGGACACGCTAGCGCTGTCCCAAACTGGAAGCTTGTCTTCCTTCTTGATGATCTGAACCTTAACCTTGGGCTCCACATTGAATTTCTCGCATACCGCCAAATAAAAAAAACTGTTATTGCCCTTTGTGCTTGTCCAAGAAATGGCCCAACTGATCCAGCATCAGCGGATCGTATTGCTGGAAGACATCCGAGATCAAAAGCTTGAACTGATGCCTGGCTTTGAAATCCTGGCCCTGCTCTCTGTCGGCTTCTACCTGACGAGCGGCCTTATCTTTGGGCTTGGCCTTCACTGCCACAAGAGGCGGCGGTGGCTGCATCTTCTCACTGTCGGCTTCTACCTGAACAGTGGGCTTGTGTTTGGACTGAGACTTCTCCCTGCCAACTACTACCTCCGCCTAGGAGCAGCAGCAATCGCCCTGTCGCAGAGCGGAGCTAGTGGCCGCACAGGCTCGAGCCCGAAGCGTGCTTGAGCCAAAATGGCTACGGGGGAGGAGGAGAAGGAGGGGGAGGAGGAGGAGGAGGAGGAGGGAGGAGGATCGAGGTCGGGAGAGGCGGACAAGACCGCCTCGAGGATCGAGGTCGGGAGAGGAGGAGGAGGAGGAGGAGGAGGAGGAGGAGGAGGAGGAGGAGGAGGAGGAGAGGAGGAGGAGGAGGAGGAGGAGGAGGAAGAGGAGGTCTCTCCTCGATCGGGAATCGGGGAGGGATCCTTCCAAAGGACCTCGAAAATCGAGGTCGGGGGAAGGGGGGGAAGAGCAGGAGAAGGATGGGTCCTCCTCCTCCTCCTCCTCCTCCTCCTCCTCCTCATGCTCCCCCTCCTCCTGCTCCTCCTCCTCCTCGTCCTCCTCCTCCATTTTTTCCTTATGAGAATGTCCTCCTCCCTGTCGCATACTGAAGAAAACTGACAGTATGGCGGCCCGGGCGTTTCGCCTGAGACGCCCTCACCATTTATGATCCTCCAGCTGAGAATTTGCAACAGCTTCGCAGATTGAGGGCGGGTCGCTTTCAAAATGTGGCTCGCGCCTGACCGCCACGCACATTCGTCTTGAAAGTCTGCAGCAGCTCAACGGATGGAGGGCGGTCCTATTTGAAAATGTGGCTCTCGCCTGAGCGCCGCGCGCATTAGTTTGAAAAGTTTGGGCAACCGCTTCACAGATGGAGGGCGGGTCGTTTTCAAAATGTGGCTCTCACCTGAGCGCTACGCACATTCGTCTTCACAGCTTACAGATGTTATACGGATTGTTATGGCTGACGTCCAGAGAACTGGTGTTATGGCATGACGTAGTACTGTCATGGCGCAACAGTTGAGTTGATGTGTAGGGTTGAGGGAACGACGTTCTGGCACAATTCAGGATCGCCAGGACGCAGCAGGAACGTTGATTCGTGGCGTTGAAATCCCAGGAATGGTATTCTGGCACGGCTCAGATTTTTCAAACGGTTGTCTTCCAACGGGGCACGTCCCTCAGTGATAGTGAACCCTTGCAGGGACCTATGAAGAGGGACGTTTGAGGGAGGGTTCATTGCAACACCGTTGATGAGTCTTGTGTTAGCAGTGGTCCTTTCTGCCTCCTCATCTTCCTCCTCCTCCCTCTTCCCCTCGCTTCCTCCTCCTCCTTCTCCTTTCTGCTTTGCTCCCTGCTGGTGTTCTTCCTGTTGTTCCTCCTCCACCTCCACCTCCTCTCCTTGCGCATTTGTCCGTCCTCCTTATCATCTTCATCCCCTTCCCTCCCCCTGCCTCCCTCTGCCTCCTCTTCTCCCTCATCCTCCTCG